TTCTTGTACGCCGTGTCCTTTTCTTTCAATTCTGTGCGATCCTCTTCCGTCATCCCTCCGTGCATCCGTCCTTCCTTCCTTCCTCATTGTGCTCCTTCTCATTCCGCCATCCTTTCATCATTCACCCTCTCGTCTATCCTCCTTTACCCCCCTTTGCTGGGAGGACCCGAACACCGCAGTGTTGTACAACAAGATCTTGAGCGCGGAGTACACGCCTCCCAAATTTATCTCCGATGGCGCCCGCGACCTGATCGCCAGGATGCTGACGACGGAGCCGGACTTCCGGATCACGATCCCGCGTATCCGACAGCATTCCTGGTACCGCCAGATTCCCGAGGCTTCAAGCCCGTACGTGCCAGTCGAGAAGGGGGACGAGGTCCTGAATCAGGACGTGCTGGACCAGATGGACCGGCTCGAGTTCCCTCGCAGCTACACCGTCAAGTGTCTGCAGATGCGCAAGCACAACCATGCGACCGCAACGTACTACCTCCTGCTCGAGAAGAGGAGCCGAACTGGTGGCTGTGCTCTGAAGCAGGGGGAGTTCCCCAGCCTTGAGGCGCACCCTCATCCTGCTCTCTCTGGTCGGGTGCCTCGTCTCTCCCCCCAGGGCCAGCTGCCAATGCCACTGCCAGACGGCGAACCTGGGTCCGAACCCCTCCGGACGCTGGGGCGACCCCCGCGCGAGCGTTCAGGACTGCACGCCGGCGGCGGCCCAGAATCGGCCGACATCGAAAGATCCGCGCTACTGGAACGCATCGATCATTCCATTTGAACGAGTTACGAGGTCTCAGAAACCAACGACGACGCCATCGCGGCGTGAACCTTCCGTGGCAGCTTGTGATAACCAGCGCCCGAGCCTTGTTGAGGCCCTTCGAGGAGTAGGACCCGACCCGGCGATTTCCTGAAAGGCGTGAGAGCGCGGCAGCCATTGTCACAGACAGGACACCACCTCCTTCACAGGCCCCTCCCCTGGGGTTTTCTACTGAGCTGTGCGTGCAGTGGGGACGAACTTGCCAAAAGACCAGACGTTTTTGTTGTTGTTGTTGTTGTTGTTGTTGTCGTTGTCGTTGTCGTTGTCGTTGTCGTTGTCGTTGTTGTTGTTGTTGTTGTTGTTGTTGTTGTTGTTGTTGTTGTTGTTGTTGTTGTTGTTGTTGTTGAACATTATTTATTCTAAAGAATAATTATTGTTGGGCCCCCTGGTGCGCGCCCCCCCTGCGCCGCCTAGGCCGCAGCTACATTTTCATCATTTTCGTGAGGAAGCCTCAGAAAAGAGGGTGTGTACAGGATCCGGTTGTTTTGTTGTAATCCGCTTTCCCTTGCAAAAAACAATAGAAAATGACATTTCTTGTTCTAATATAATCAAATTTCAAGAATCCCTTGCAAAAAATAAGGTAAAGTGGACATTCGCGCGCGCAAGACGAAATCCTTCCAAAAGCTTAGTGTTCGGAGCGATTTTAACATAAAAACATCAAAAAACCAATGGTTTTTCAACAAAAAAATGTCAAAATCTCATCCCGCGCGCTCTTGCGGATTCGTAGGAAACCCAACACTTTTTAAACATTTCTGTCAAACGGGCTTTTGCGAGCAACTTTTTCGAACTTCTGCGACAACGGTTGCGCACCTGCCAGGGCCATCATCCCTGTCAAATAATACCATGCGGGACACATTCGTTTTTTCTTCGCGCGCGCACGCCGAAATCTCCAAAAACCATTGGGCTTCTTAAGAATTTTAGCACCGCGCATCATAAAATCACACGAATCGCACCGTAGGTCCTCGAAAAACACCTGCACGACTTTTCAAAATTTCTACCCGCGCGCGCTGTCCGAATCCTAAAAAACCAATGGTTTTCCAACATTTATGTTACATGAGCTCGCGCGAGCTACTTTCGCACGCTCTTGCAACGGGGTTCGCGCGCCTGCCAGGGGCCACAATCCCTTGCGGTTGCGCCATAGGTTGCGCCCTCGGCCGCCGAGAATACAACGTCCCCCTATTGGTTGCGCCATAGGTTGCGCCCTCGGCCGCCGAGAATAAAACGTCCCCCTACTGGTTGCGCCATAGGTTGCCCCAGGAGGCCTTCAAGAGGCCCCAAGAACCCGCCGTGAGGACCCAATAAGCCCCCAAGAGGCCCCAAGATGCTTCCAAGAAACCCCCCAAAGCCCCTCAAGAGGACCTAAAGATGTGATCAACTATCTTGTGAGTACGTATCATGTGTATCATGTGTATCATGTACCATATGCATCATATGCAACAGATGTTCTGTGGAAGGCTTAACAACTTCTGTGGGTTAACAAGGCTTAACAACTTCTGTGGGTGTACGAACGTAGGCTTAACAACTTCTGTGGGTGTGTACTCCACGCCAGTGTAGTAGCCACGGTCGTCCGCAGGCCACGAAGTGAAGTGTCCGAACGTCATAGGGCGGGAAGCTGGGTGTGGGTGGTGGCGAAGAGTCGTGTGGATATTTGGTAGAGCTTGCACTGCCCCCCCACAAAGTGGGGGTATT